TTCCTTCTTTGCACTCACAGACAGCTCCAGGTTGACATTTGCACAATGGTTTTTCTTGTGCTTCAATGGACTGTTGCGGCGTCTTGCTTTCTTCAGGCGGTTTAGGCGGCTTTTCCTTTTGCTCTGAAAGTTTCAAGTCTTCAACCGGTTTCGGGGGCTCCTGCTTCTGTTCTGCAGCCTTAGATTCTTCGGACGCTTTTGGTGCTTCCTCTTCTTCTGGTTTTGAGGGTTTTGGTTCCTTTGGAGGTACAAGGAGTTCCTGCTTTTGTTCTGCAGGCTTGGGTTGTTCTGGCGGTTTAGGTGGTTCTTTTTGTTCTAAAACTTTAGTTTCCTCCACCATTTTTGCTGCTTCAGTCACGCTCTCACTTCGCTGTTGTTTTTCAGCTGCTGGGCATTTGCACTCTTTACTGGGAGTGCATTTACATTGCCCTTGTCCTTCTTTGCAGTTGCAGACCTTGCTGGGATCACAAAGACATACGGGTTTACCGCCTTTGCAGGCGCAAATGCTGCCTTGTTGACACAAGCATATCGGACATTGGCAACCTTCTTTATCTGGTTGACATTGGCAAACTGTGTTTGGTTGACAAGAACACAGAAGCTTACACTGACATGCAGTACCAATTTTGCACTGACACCCTTCTTTTCCTGCTTGGCAATCGCAAGCTGCTGTTGGATTACACTTACAAGCTGCTCTACCACCTTTGCATCTGCACACTGTGAAGGGATCACAGGTACATTTATGGCATTGGCATCCTTCTTTCCCTTCTGTACACTGGCACACCATGCCAGGCTCACAAACACACAATGGCTTGCAGTTGCAGTCTTTGTCCAGTCGACATTTGCATCCTTCCTTCCCAGCTTGGCACTGACACACTTTGTGAGGTTCACATACACAATAAGGCTTCCCATTCTTACATCTGCAGACTGTACCTGGCTGACACTGACAAATTTGACATTTACATCCCTCTTTGCCTTCCGTGCACTGGCATACAGTACCAGGTTCACAAGTGCACAAGGGCTTGCAGTTGCATGTTGCATCGAGGGAACATTTACATCCTTTCTTCCCGGCCTGGCATTGGCACATTTTCTGCGGTTCGCATAAGCAAGCTGGTCTTCCATTTTTACATTTACAAAGAGAACCAGGCTGACATTGACAAATGTGACAAATGCATCCCTTCTTGTCTTCTGTGCATTGGCAAGTGGTTCCCGCTTCACAGAGACATAAAGGTTTACAGTTGCAAATTGCATCTAAAGGACACTTGCATCCTTTTTTTCCAGACCAGCAGAGACAAACTTTATCAGGCTCGCACAGACAGGGAGGTTTCCCATTTCTGCATTTGCAGACAGCATTTGGCTGACATTGACAAATGTGACATCTACAGCCTTCCTTGCCCTCTGTACACTGGCAAACAGCAAAAGCTTCACAATTACACAATGGTTTGCAGCTACATTTTGCGTCAATGGGACATTTACATCCTTTCTTTCCAGCTTGACATCGACACGCTTTTTGCGGTTCGCATAAACAAGCCGGCCTTCCATTTTTACATTTACAAACAGAACCAGGTTGACATTCACAAACGTGACATCTACATCCATCTTTTCCTCCTGTGCACTGACACACGGTCCCCGCTTTACACAGACACAGAGGTTTACAGTGGCAAATTGCATTCAAAGGACACTTGCATCCTTTTTTTCCAGACCAGCAGAGACAAACTTTGTCAGGCTCGCACAGACAAGGCGGTTTTCCATTTTTACATTTGCAGGCTGTCCCAGGTTGACAACTACACTTTGGTCCTGGCGCTTCAGAAGGTTTCTCGAGCGTTCTTCTTTCGCTACTTTGTGGTTTTTTGAGCATTTCATCGATTTCAGCCTTCTGAAAGAGAAATAAATGTAAAGAACGCAGAGCAATTATAGTAACAAAGAAAATGTGTCTTGAAAGAAACCTCAACTAGAAGTATTTATTATCATTTTTATCATTTTTCTGCTTCCTCTTTTAGAGTGCAAAACATCATCTTTCTGTTTCGCCGCAATGATATTTTCATTTTTAGTCTTAGCTGAGATTTTTGATGAGAGGAGAAGGCACAAATCATAAAATTAACCGTCACATTGTACACGACTCACCTTGCTCACAATTGCTCCGCTTTCGCTTGCGTCGCCAGGTGTGTCTTCCTTCTAAAAATGAGGATACTGATTTTTCA